TGAGCTGGCAAGGGTTACAGGCTGCCTGCCCCCCTTCCCTCGCCGTTTTCGGCCACAGTGGGTGAGCCTGCAACACTTCCCCAATACTAGTACTTATTCACATCATCATAGCATCATGGCCCTCGCATCTGCCTCAGACTGGCCCTGCATAGCGCGACCACTTTTGTTTTGTGGACAGTGGCATTCCAGCCCGTGTGCTGTGCGTTCTCCGCAGGAACGCGCGCGCGAGTAGAGGCCACATGTGCACCCCCCTCGACAAAGCTTTGAGCGAGACAACGCCGTCGTTGTCCCGCAATCCCCATCTTATTCCGGTGAGTGTCACCTTGTTTTGCAATTCAATTCGCTCAGTGTCTGTGTTTTCAGGTATGACATATCACCTCGCCACCGCCGCGTCTCTCCTCCACCACCGCGTCTCTCCTCCTCCCGACGGGGCACGACTTCCTGTCTGGCCCCGCGGGTCAAATCTAGGGCCGAGGTGTGGCCTGTTCGGCAAGATCAGGCCTATTGGTGGGGAGGAGGTGGCGGGTGGGCGGGCGGTGGGAGCCAACCGCTTGCCCGTTAGCGCTGGAACTTTCGCCGTCGGGAGCGACGCATTGTTCGCGCTCGACGCTGAGGTTTGGTGTGAATCAGTGTGGAACTGAGCTCTGGGTGGCCGGGGAAGTCAATGTGTTGTAGTATGTAGTACGCTATGTATATAGTCATTTATGAATTCAATTTCTTTCATTCTTTCATTTATTGCATCCTGAACACAACTAGAGCATCTTTCATAGTTTTCTATCAAGTCTTTATGGTAGTCTTTTCAAGGTCTTTCCAAAGACTGCAAGGTCTTTCCAAAGACCAGGACGCTGTCTTGCAAAGACCTAGTGTCTTTTGAGTCTTTTGGATCTTTCAGGTCTTTTTGGTCTTCACCAAAGACCTGAAAGACCTAAAAGACTTTTGTGTTATTTTACTGATGTGGCCCTCAATTACAACTCTGACTGCATCACTATGTAGGATAAATATCTAGTATAACAATTCACATTTTCAAGCAACAAATGCTAGACAAGCAGTGGAAGAGAAACATCTGCCACTTGATCGATGAGATGGTAGGTCTCTGATGTGTGATTTCAACTTGATGTACTGACAAATGTGCAAGTCCCATATAAAAGGACGAGGAGTTGTGCCTGGAGTGGATAAGACATATCATTGTCTCCTCTACAGCCAGGGACAGGGATGAGGGAAGGAGCAGAGGTTAGGGTCTGTGATCATCCCTTAGCAGGGCCCACCTGTGTCGCCCATATACTACTATAGACTATCAGGTCTATCCCAGCGGGTGTCTGGACAGCCATCCGTACCCTTACCCCTGTGGCTGTGTACCCTTACCCGCAGGTACGGGTATGGGTTTACCCGCGGATGCAGTAGCCACTAAAGGAGGCGGGTGAGAGATATTACCAGGTTAGTGGCCATAAAAGTGTGGTAAAAATGGAGCACTTAGCGAGAATCGAACACAGACCATCAGTAGCAGCAATCGAGAGGCAATCGAGCTGAGTCAGCAAGCTCCGGGTAAGGCAGCCACTGCCCCGTGTACCCGCGCGGGTTGGCCCTATCCGTGTAATTCCCTAGACCTGACAAGCTACATAGAATTGTGGCAGGGCCATGTATATAAGGTGTGATAGTATACCAGGTACTCTACACTGCCAACGGGGTTCCAGCTATGTCACAGCCGGAAAATCCCCAGTGGATACATGTGATACCGGGCTGGTTCCTGGATCAGCGCCACATGGCTTCCATGTTTGGGAGCAAATGGATCTACTCTGGGTCCAGAGTGTCTGGAAACCAGCAGGATCTGCGGGTCACCACCATATACTATATTTGGTAGAGACTATGGTACTGACTTGTCCAACTAGATGCAGAATAACGAAACTATTTATTGCAGCTACTACAAACATATACAAAGCATACTCAGATATTGATACGACACTTGTCCTCACTGCTGCTGTCCCCAGCCGGCCCAGCCATAGACAAGTGCTACCATCCCAATGGCCGGCAGCCCCATCGCCTCTCGGTCGTCTTCGCATTGAGGCCCAAGACAAGCGGTACTGAGGAGTTGAGTCAGCAGAGCACCAAACAATGAGCATGCTGACCTATGGGTGGCCGCTGGTATCCGCTGCTTCCATGCAGCGGGTTCGTGTTCGCGGAGCCACTGGGACATGTGGCACTAATGAGTAAGTCAGCAGAGCACCATATAAGATCAGCAGACTGACATACGGGTTTCCGCTCCTTCGGTGCAGCACATTCGGGTTTGGGTTTGGGTTTGGGTTTAGGTTTGGGTTTGGGTTCGCGGGGGGCTGAGTGTGCGCGTTTGCGGTGCTCAGTGTTGCCGTTATTTGGCACCGGGTGCAGGTGACTAGCTATGAGTCAATATTATACTCACAGGAATTTCGCAGCTTACAACTGAGATGCCTTGTGGATGAGGGTGGCAGGGTGGCAAGGTGGCAGGTGGCAGGTGGCAGGGGGTGGCCAAGGGGGGCGGAAGGCCCACTGGTCATGGGGTGGCTCTGCTGATAAGCCTCTTCAGACAGGTGTATACCGCTCCGATTTCATTATTCACACCTTTGCAGTACACTGTCATCAATCCCGCCACTTGACAACATCTTACGGCCAGCCTATTGGCGCGCTCTCACTTGCTGCAGCTGCGGTAAGTCTTACATTGCAATATATGTCCTATTCATCAGTGTCAGGCGGAGCGGGCTCTCCTCTTGTGGTCGACAGGCAGTCTCGAGAAAACCCAAAGGGATTACCGGTCATGGCAAGCCCAAGGTCGCAAGTTTTGTTGAGGATCCTTGGGCTGACCATGCGCGGTTGTACCTCCGCGGCATTGAAGGGCTATCTGATCAACTTTATATGCCGAGCCATAGGTGTTATATTTTTACAAATGCAACTAGCTGCAGCTAGCATAACAGTTGTCAAATACACTGAGCAGGGCTTTTTGTCACATATGTCACATTCATTTAAAGGCTTATTTTATTTATTTAAGACTACTATTATGGTAATTGATGATGGAACTGATAGCATCTAGATAATGTCATCAATGTGGAAACATTTTTGATTGCCATCAAAAGTTTTGATGATTGTAACCAGCTACATCATTTCTGTCCAAATTGGGATTATTAAGTATTTTCTATATATATAGTCTTCCAAATTATATAACGGGTCTTCGGCCTAAAAGAAAAGGAACTTAACATTCATTTATTAAGTATAATAATTATCAATACTGATGTTATATCAAAGTTTGATCAGTCTTATAGGGGAACAGAAGACAAATGCACTAACTGCACTCAGGCCTCAGTGGAGCTAGTGGATTTGACACCAGGTTGACTCAGTGCACTCAGTGCAGTTGTCAAATGTGCACAACTACAGGTGGAGCTGTCAAATGTGCACAACTACAGGTGATATAAATGCCTTCGGCACACACCAGTGGCTCAGCAGTCCGACATGAGTGGGTCCGAAATAGATAATCGTAGTGATATCATCATTTCCGACAATGATGATGATACTCCACAGGCACCTGTTGTCGAGGCTGTAGTGAGTGGCGCAGGAGGAGTCAACAAATTGGATAGCCAATAGAACCATATATACAGAATACATTGCTTTTTCTTTCCAATTTTGAGTGCTGTCCCAATCCTGGTGGCTTCTGTGAATATTCTGTACAGATTCTGGCAGAAGTCTGGCGACAGAATAGATCTTGTTGATGGCTATATCATAATGACGCCAATCAGATTCTGATAGCTTGGGTTGCCTATCACTCACCTGTCAGGCCTGTTGCCAAGGCGCACAAGCTGATTGAGTTTTGCTGATGTGCGCAAGACCTGCAATAACTTAGCCACTCAGTAATGACAATGTTACACAAAGTGAATTTTCTTTCTAAGATTATGGCCCAAGAAGAATGTCAGCACAGTGTTTTCTGATGTTTTCCAAATCAACCCGGTTGCACCAAGTCATAATGGATAACACTGGGAGAGGGTTCAAAGGTTTACTTTAGAGACATATACACTTTTGTAAGAAGATTGATTCAGACTAATCAGGGGTCATCAAGAGTATATAAGCCATAGTGGATAACACTGGGAGGGGGCCTGAAAGTTTACTTTAGAGACATATATGCTTTTTTAAAAAAGATTGATTCAGACTAGTAATCAGGGGTCATGAAGGGTATATTACCGTATATATTGATGTATGATGTCTAAGATGCTAAAAGCTTGACTATAATGTTACACAAACAGGGCAATAGAGTCAGCTTTTTTTTTCTCTGCTGAAACAGATTTCAAGATATTAGCACAGTGTTTTCTGATGTTTTCTGACCCAACCCGGGTCCAATGAGCTCTAAAAGCAACTTGAAAAATGTTACATGGCCGAGCGGTCTAAGGCGTTGGATTTAAGAAAGGTTCTTGCGAGCTTTTGAATCCCAATGGGGCAACCCGCGCGAGTTCGAACCTCGCTGTAACCAGTTTTGCTTCCGCTCGCCACGCGCCAGCTTCGGTTCCCCTGCTCTGTTGCCCCAGGCTCACAAGTAGTTGTTGTCGCGCCTTCTAATCGCTGAACTCCGTTTGACCCTTTCAATAGCGTCCATCAGTGGACCTGTTGGTCGGTCAGTCTGGACCTGTCACAAATCAATATCAGTCACCGCTCTTACGTGTGACTTCGAGGGTTGTCTTCTCCCTCCGTGCATGCCCTCAATCAACCTGGTCTCGGGCAGCCGAATACCTGCCGGACTCCATCTCGTTCTCTGATCTCTATCATGGCTCTACCTGTTTCCATCCGCCGCAACCTCAATGGTCTCTGATTGGGCAGCGGCACCGCCCATGTGCGGCTTACGGCGCTCATCAGCCATGGCCAGGAACAGGCCTGCCAACACAGGTGTCTCCGACGTCGCAGGAGCGTCGTATATGGCTTCTGCAGCTTCTGTCCGGGTGTGTAAGCGTCTTCCGCTCCATTATAAGAGCTTCCTTCGCTGGCGTGCCCGGTCAAGCTATCGACACACGGCGGTGACACACACGATGTTCAAGCTTATCCTCCTGCAAATGCTGTCTCTTCTCCCCGTCCTCGTTTCGACGTCATTAGCGGGTGCAACTCCCGTCACGACCGCGGCCCAGCACACATATGCCAAGCGGGACATCCTGGCATTCTACGCGACGCAGAATTGGTTGCAGTTCATGGCCAATCTCTTCGCGCAGAACGCGTTCTACGGCGTCGGCGACGGCGTCCCGCAGCTGCAGAACATCGCGAACCACCTGAAAAACTGCAGTGACGCTTTTGACTCGGCCAATTTTGCCATCGCTGTCCGTTATCCCTTCTCTCCGAGTCATCACGCTGATCCATCGCGCTGACTGTCATCCACGTAGTCCATGGTCCCTGCCGGCGCGCTGACCGCGCCTGTATTCGCGGCGGCCGACCTTGTGTCGACGGATCAGCTGTTCTTGCCCTCGACGCAGACGACGATAAGTAATCGGCCACCTGGGCACGCTGCTTGCGGGCAAGGCGTTCTTCGAGGCGGTGAAGGCCAACGGGCAAATGACGCGCGTGCTGTGCCACTGGGTCGGCGACCTCGCGCGGGAGAACGACATCTTCCTCGCCAGCATGATTGGCGCGGCTAGTTCAGTCAGTCTGGTTACCTTTCCTGAACTTGATAAGTATGGGCTTATAAAGAGACATAGAACCAGACGATCGTCACGAGCTGGACACAGTCGCGCAGTTTGAGCACACAGAAGTACAATGAATTTCTGAGTCCGCTCACTGGTTTTGGCTGTGGTGGGCTGTAGCTTCCAGGTTCCAACACCCAAGAAATTACAATAAAAAAAGTGAATACAGGCTGAATGGAACCACTACCGAGATAAATATCCTTGAATCACGGATAAGGTTAAAGTGTCCGGTTGCCCCACCGTTTTGATTCGCAATCTGGGCGGCATCCGGCAGCGATCCGTTCGGCAGAAGTGATGTCGCAGCCGGCAATACCGAGCCGGTGTACGGATGCAGTCCTGCGGTTGAGCCTGGCGGGGTGGTGCCAGGATTAGACTGGATAGCACCGTTCTTGTTGCCGTCTCCGATCGATGTCGGAGCCGGTCCGGGACCGGGATTCGCTGCAAATAGCATCAATCGAGTGGTCTCAGTGGTGGTGGATTCTCCTTACAGGTCGGTCCTGGCGCAGGCTGCGTTCCAGCGTCCGGCTTTGTCGTTGATGGCCCTGGTGCCGGTGCTGGGTTTGCTGTCTTCGCAACCGTGACGGGGTCTGTAGCGTCCTTCGGATAGACATATCCGGCAATCAGCTGGTATGTGTACCCGATAGCGATGGCCCGGTCGCGCTCGGCGGCGTCGGCGGTGTAGAAGTGGTCCTTGACGTCGCCGTCTTGGTAGAGGCGATACAGCGGCACGGTGTCGCACTGGGCTGACGGGTAGACGAAGATAGGTGTCGGGTTGTCTTCGTAAGAGTAGACGCCCTGGGCGGTGAAGCTCGCAGCCTCACCGCTGTCCGCAGTGTAGAAGTGGTCAACTATTTGTGAGGCATTTCAGATATCGCGGCGATTGCGCGTGAGCAAGATGACATACGGGCACCCCAGCTCCATAAGCGGCGCAGCCTGACGCTGCCCTCCACCTGCGACGTAAACACAAGTGCGCGGATGCCTTCCTGTGCCCAGCCGCCGCCCGGGACGCTGTTATATTCGTTTGCATCGACCTGTGGTGGGGGGTTGACTCGAACTCAATGGCAGTGCAAGATGCGCACAGTGTAGAGGTGGTCTGTGCCCGCTCGGAAGTTTCGGTACAGTGGCTTTGCTTGTGACGGGGGCGTGCAGACACCATGCGCCTGAATGGAATACAAACTTGGGGAAGGGTGATATGAATGCAACGCACCCCCAAAGATGTGAAAAGAATGGTGCAGATGGCCAATAACTGGTGGATGGGATTAGTGGAGTGGATCCAGAGCATTAGGGGCGTAAAGAGAGTAGAAGAGGTCAGTTGAAGGCAGCGGTAGGATGCAGCATGGGCGTGCCGCAACCAACACCCAAACAATATCGCCCGCAAACGGCGCCGATGTCCATCGTGAAACCGCGTATCAGAGAGTGTCTGCGAATCTTCCGTCAGCAATACAGTGTCTGTTTCAATGTTGAGAACATGTTCGGCGTTTGCGCCGCTGAGGCTGAGATGTGAACTCAGGCTTCGAATTGGTCTGCTCTGGGTCCGAGTCTGCAATGATCCAAACCAAGATGGCCGAGGATGGCATGAATATACGGAATGGATGACTCGGATACACAGAGGCGCAGAGGGCACAGCCTGAGCCAATACACTTAATCCCTTTGCGCCTGCCTCGGAGTCACAACACATTCAAACGGCTCCGGATGACTAGAGAGGAGTACATCAGGGATGCACCGCCAAACCTCAAACCGATCGACCTACCTGACGAATGCAGAGGCCTGTGCGTGTGGTCTAATGCTTTTTACTTCGTTACCGTCGGGAGCCGTGATTTCGAACGATGCAAGGATGGTGGTGCACGCCAGGAACACGGTCGAGTCGCCCAGCAACCGCCCAGGACATATCCTGCAGCATCGAAATTAGGATTCGGAGTACCACGGAGGGAGCGACACCACCCACCGCCGGCCGAATCCGAAGACGATTTTCCGCGGGTCTGGCTGCGGCTGCGGCCCGAGAAAGCGCTCGGGGTTGAAGACGAACGGATCGGGATAGATGTCCGCATCGTGCGCCATTTTCCTATACCGCGCCGATTTTGTGAACAGAAAAGAAGATGGAGAGAGCATGAGACGGACCAGATGTTCGGCATAATGACTGTCCCCTTTGGAATAAACAGCTGCGCGTGTGTAGTGCGATGCGTGTACACGAAGGCCTCTTTCGCACAATGCGGGACAGCTATGAACTTAAATATGGGTGGTATACGAATAGTAATCGGTGTGACTAACCGATTGGTGCCGCAACATGCCAGCGGAGCAGCTCCTTGCAAAATGCGTCCATATAGGGCAGAAGGCCCTCCTCGCGGTCGCGGGTAGTAGCAAGTCGTAGATCGCCATTATCGTCGTCACGCAGAACTCGATCGATTTCAGCGTGTGCACGTCGCTGCACTGCGGGATAGAGCGACATGGCGAGAAAGAACGCTGACAACTGCGCCGCAGTCTATAAGTGCAGTGTAAGTGCGATTTCTAAAGAGACAAAAATTCCTGTTACCGTGTCGCTCCCCGCAACCTGGACGGCCGCCGCTGCTTGTTTTAGCAACTGAGTATCTGACTCGTGGGAGACCTTCTCAAGAAACGTTCTTGCGAATGACGGCTCGGCTGTTCCCCTTGACTGAAGAAGGATAAGGTTGCGATTGGATACGATAACCCACGACAAACCAGTTGATCAGTAACGAATTGGAGGCCCGTGTGTATCGTGTGCTGGAAATCTTGGCGGATCCTCCTAGCTAGTGTATGGAAACCTCCGCCAGGTAATGACTCCGGCCAATATTTCACTGTGAGATGTCGACTATTGAGTAGACAAGAAAATTGAGTGCAACACACGGAATGGAAAGATATCAACCATGTACGCCGCCGGGCGAGTGGTATCCATGAAGTCCCGAGTAGCAGCGAGAAACATTTCGTGCAGAGCATCCTTGTGGCCAGCGGGCGGCGCCATTCGATACCCATAAGCGAGTCGTAGACCGATTGCACTTGTGATGCTGGAAAATGACATGTCAAGAAGGAAATGTCGAAGGAATCAGGAACACACCGTTCGAGGTGTTCAAACAGCCCTTTGCCCTCACTTTCATGCAAGATATTGACGAGATTTTGTAGTTCTTCGGTCACGACGCCCTCGAATGCTCGCGCGGCGTCCTTCGTTCCAAACACACGATGGAGCATTCTTCGCTCCTTCTTGAAGCGGTCGGTATACAAGCAGAGCGGAATCACGGTATCAAATCCCGCAAGCTCGCCGGCCATAGGGAGCACCGGTCTGTCAGAGCATAATGCACCATGCGCATCGAGTATGTCCTCCGCGACTTCGACGGAGTTGATGACAACGATGCGTTGGGAGAGGATGCGGAGGAAGAAAATGTCGCCTTCAGATACGATTAGTGCGGGAAACATCTGACGACAAAGACGCACCGAATTCCTTGCCAATCTCAGCAAAGGCAAGCCACGGACGCTCCAGAGGGACGTCGAAGACGTTGCCCAGGATAGGGATCCCGCGGGGGGCCGGGTGGGTATTGGGGCCGTTTTGAGTTCCAGCGGGAATGAGCGACGCAGGCGAGGGCCCAAGAGACAAGTAGCCCACAGAGTACAGCGGCGGCGGGGGTGTCGAGGACGGTAGGCAGCATGGGGAAACGCAGCGAAGACGGAGATGACAGCGTGTCGCTCTTTCGATAGTTCGGGCGTTGCTAAAACCAACCTAGACCGTGTCTAAGTCCTAAGTAGGGAAGCGCGGCTCTTACCGATCAATCACCGCAAATTGGGGAATCGCCCGGGAGCAGATGCAAACCGTCTCCGGGCTGCTGGATAGCATACACCTTTCAGCTGCCCATGCGTCGAGAGAAATGAGGTATGTGCATGTGGTTGGGCAGGCCGTCAAAGTCAAAGTAGCTTGACGACAAGCAACGGCGTGACTTAGATGTGACCTGGCACGTGGATCGCTTCCGCATTCAGCACTTCCGTCAACAAACCTCTACTACGCGCCTTGAAATCCCTCGGCTTACGACGCAACCTATTTCGAGTTGTTGAGCTCTCGACCGCATTGTGTCTTCCCGCCTACTCCTCGCCACAGACCGTCCCGCTCTCGTGGGCAATGCTCATGACTCGCAAAACGTTCAAGTTATCGTCCTCAGGCTGGGCTACTGGAGAGTGCTAAAAGGCTAGCCCGGGTTTTGTAACGGTAAGTCTTACTGCATCCTTTGCCTCCAGCCCCTTTCTCACTACGCCAGCTCCTCTAGCCCGGATACCTTTCAAACTCTTCCTGCGACCAGAAGATGTTAGTACATGTACCACCGCCTGGAGTCTTACTACTCGACTTAGGTAAAGCAGGGCCCAAAGAATATGGTCTGAACGTGGCTTCTCCGCTCATTTGGGCGTGGACATGGGCTCTGGCCCTCTGGGTGCCGTCTATCATGAGTGTTATGGTAGATCATTGCGGCCGCGGTATGCTTTCGGGAATCGACTCATCCTTCCGCTGACATCGTCGAGGTTATCTTCATCGTTGGTCTTCCAGCCCCGTGCCACATCTAGACTCATTTCCCTCCTCTCTCCATTCGCCGCATCAGCATCATTTATCTGGACTGCTTTCCTATCACGAACTTGAAGGAGGACTCTGCTGCTCGTAGCTCCACCGGCTAGCGACCTACTTTGTCATGATGACTTCCCGCATTGCTCTACGATACGGTGTATCGCCGCTGCTACAAGCTCCGGCTGGTGCCCGGGCCATCTATCACTACCATTTGCACCCTAGCCTCTTCGCTCCCCGCTCGACATGTGTTCACGATTTCGACACACGGACCTCTGCCCCAACACATTTACTCTGCCCCACTCCACATTCCCTTCTCGTTCTCGCGCAACTCGCATTGCCCACGTTTTAGGGTCCGTGCGCTTCTCAAATCCACTTCGGAGATGGCCATTTGACGGTCGGATGTGCATCCGTTGGCGTTGGCATGAGAAGCCAAGCGAGGCGACGACTCACGCCTCGATGCTCCGTCTTCCACCCTGTCGTCCATCTGTCACTCTACGGACCTTTCCATGCCACGTTCAGATTTCCCTATTGCTCGCTACTCTTACTTATCGATACCCAGTGGCATCTTCAGGTTGCTCTGTTGCTCTCAATTTGCATTTCACTTCCTCCGGGAATACTAGTCCTGCATCTCATCTAAGGTCTTCTCGTACCTCGCTGGTCTCCAGGGTTCTCACATGTCCATTATCTTTACCCATGCTCATCTCCGCCACTTCTTGTCCTCTTGGTGCCACATCTTCGAGGCGCGCGAACTATTCCGCCCCACTGGCACATGCTGTCTGTCGCTTGAACGTAAACCACATCTAAAAGCCATCCCCATACGTTCTCATCGCGTTTTGAGCGCTGTCTGGAAACTGCTTGACGGCCAGACACACCTCCTTTGCCGGCGCGCGGATGAATGCAATTCTTGCAAACGCACATTGCGGGGTCACTCAATAAATTATTCCTCGGTCTCTTAGGGAGCCCATTCAATTGCGAGCTCGATCAAGATCGAGAGTTGGCGCCTGACCCGAGAAGCCCTCGCGACGGAATAAAGCACAGCCGCCTCATTAGGAAGGCTTTTCGACTCCGCGAAGGCGAAGGACTTGAATGGCAACGTAAAGAAGATGGGCGGTGTTTCTGACCGGGACAACAACTGCAAAGACCCCCACCCCTGGAAGCAGACACCGAGCGCGCCTTCTTGGGACAAGGGCCCAGACCATGGCCAGGGTTAACTCCCGCGAAGAGCTCCTGCTAAATCGATTACAGGACGATCTGCCGGTCGGTCACGATCGGTGGCGGCTTAACGTTGTATTCGAATGCTCAGGCTTTCTCGCCTGCCAGTGTCACCAGGCCCGAGTTTGGAGCGCAAAGTGCGACGAGTCCTCGTTCCTGTTTGACTGGCGAAATGCAGGCCTGTTCCTTCCCGACGGCAGTGGCGGATAAGACCTCGCTGTAGCGACTCGTTCAAGTCAACTCCGGGTTACGCCCCGTCGCGCAGTCAGCGAACAGCTTTTGCTTGTCGGTATTTCGCTTTGGGTTAACACGCCGTGTATCTGATCATATGCCTGAGGGTTTGATTGCCTAGTGGTTTACCTTGGAATGCCGACCGGCGACAGCGACCGTGGCTATTTATTGCGAAGAAGGCGACCGTAAGACGTCGCGCGACGGGGGAGGGGATTTCGCACTGGCATATGTCAGCTGTGCGGCCTGTGCGGCCACCTGCATTCTGCCTGCGCGAGTCTCTCTCATGGTCGTGGGTGGCGGACAGCAATGGGTTCGATGAAAACGGAAGTGCGACATATCGGTGGTCCAGACAGGGAGGTGGGCCCTGGCGCGTACGTGATTGTTCTCGATTGGCATGGCAGTGTTGATGCGTGATCCTCTCAGACCTGCTGTAAAGCTCGGGCTGCCCCCGATGCAGCCTGGATATCCAGCTTGCAAATAGTTTTTACCAGCGGCTGGTTTCTTGATCCTGGGGAAAACTATCACTTGAGCCGGGGACCGACCTATCGCCTAAGCGGAAGCTCCGATGGTACCACTGCTCTTCACACTGGCACGTGGTCTGTGAATTGCAGAAACTAATGCTTCATCGGACATTCAGCTTGAATCTCCTCCTTCCAGATGTTTCCCACTGTCGAAAACCTTGAATCTTTTGAATGGCCGAGCGACGCCCAGGCTGTCGCATGTCCCACTAACTCGTTCCGTTATCGGCGGCTAATCAGCGTCGCGGATGAGATTGAGGGCTTCTGACCTGTTTGGTCGGTCCGAAAGATGGGTACGGGTATAGGGCAGAGGTTATAAAAGAGGTGGAGCACGGCAGAGGCAGCCAGCAACCGACCAGAAATCGTCTGCATCATGTACTCAACCACCACTTCCTCGAACCCTTCGCTTCTCGCTCTGTCTGGCACTCCCGCACATTCCTCTACGACGGTCTCGAGTGTTGCGGCTGGTACGACGGCCCTCCAAGGCGTGCCCGCAAACGCCAGTCGCGGCCCACAATGCTGCCACTGTGGCTGGCGAGGAGACCATGCGTAAGTTCTGCGCGTTTCTCGCCGGTTGAGCTCGCGAACTGATGCTTTTGCGCAGTAACAACTGCCCCTTCAGTACGCGCGCTACCCTTTAGCTGTATAGTTGATCTCAGATATATCTAGAATCGTGAGCCTTGGACCCGAGGACCAGGGCTCTACAAAATAGCCCTCGTCAAAAACTGGCATTCAAAATTTGCATTTTTCCCCTTTTTTGAGCTCGTTTGTGTTCAGGATGACGGACCCATATGCACCAATATATATATCCTCATGCAGGTTTTTGAGACTCGCTCATATCGTACTTGTATTATATAAAACTTCTCTCTGCATCTACCTCACCCTTGAAGACAGTTGAAGCACGAGCACAAAGAAGATTCGATTGGCTCCCGCCGGACTCGAACCGCCGGTGTCGGATCAGCCGCCCATATTTTGATCCGCAGTGTGATTGAGTATCACGACACGTCCCCACTTGCCCCTGCCGTCCATCTCTCCGCTGGAAGCTGGATTCTGCTGGAACCAGCCGCTGCACAACAGTTGATGCGCAGTGCTGTACATATCAGGTTCGCATCACAGCAGGTGAAACGCGATCCCCCCCGACGTGAAGCGGTCACCCTCAGAATGACGAACTGGTCGTCAAGATGACTCGCTACGACGTGTGCAAACTCCCGACGATGCTGAGCAAAGCTATAAGATGCATTCTCCGCACCTCTACAATATCCACACCTCTACGCGTACAACAATCATGTCTTACGCGCCTTCACGACCAGCCAAGCTCGTCTGCCTTTCGTGCAGGCAGAACAACATCCGCTGTGAGCCTTCGCCACATGCGCCATCAGTGGCGTGTGCACGCTGCACGCGAAAGGGCATGATGTGTCAATATGTCCCTGCAGCAACTCCAACGACACCTTCTACTTCTGGCCACAAACAATATTCCCCTTCGACGCCTATCACGCTTCCTCACACAAGCGCTCCTCCATCTAATATGCGTCCTCGGTACTCGGGTGGTGCATACCCGGACCTCTCCTTATCGGGACAGGGTGCCGCAACCCCGCTGATGTACGCACCGTCGTCGTATGCCCCTGGGCAATCATCCTCAACGGCATATCCACCGTCGTCCACGTACTATAATGCGGGGAACTACAACGGAACCCATCCAGCTTAGCGCCATATCTGTATTTCTCCCCATGAAGACCAACAAATTGTATCCATACTATTCCATAGGAAAACTCGGACTGCTTTCAACTTATTTAGAATGCCACGTACTTATGTAGCGCAATTGCACTGTTCCTATACTATTAATTGAATGACACTTCAAAATGTTGTTGAAACCTGAACTTGAAGGCTGAGAGTGTCCCACTAATCTTTTAATTTTAATTCGCAATTTACACTGTTGCACTGGCGGTGTCATGCCTACTCCTCACTCCGGACCAGGTAGAAGGTCGCACCGACGATCGTCAGCCCCGCGCGCTGGGCGAACTCGACGGGGTCCCAGCGGCGGCGAGCCTCGATGCTCGGATCGAGCTCGGATGCGTCCGGGGGAAGGGAAAACCCGGGCGGCTCGCGGAAAAGCACGAAGGCTAGTGGAGTGTGAGAAGCACGTGCAGCACATGACCACGACATACTGTATCGATGTAGGCCGCTGCCCGGCGGCGGCCCGGGCGGGCGATAGGCATTCACGCTGGCGGAATGCATCAGTAAAACTACATGTCCGTCTTGGACATCTTAGGTCTTTGAAACCGATCTTTGGTCTTGAGAAGTCATCTTAGGGCATCTTGGGCTTGGGAAACAGCATCTTTGGTCTTTGACGGCCCATCTTTGATCTTTGGATCGCCGTCTTGGCATGGATTGAGTGATAAATGGAATTTTCACCACACAAACCCTAATTAAGCATTAATGAAAGCCCTGTATTCAAATCATCAGTCCTTGTTAGCAAGCATAAGTCCCCCCAACCTAAATACAAGGTGCTAGTATAGTGCCCTTGGAAATCTGCCAAGAGGTATGCATCTCTGAAACTCCCGACATCAGGTCGGAAAAGTGGATTAGCAACTGCTGGACACCCCCCTCCCTGTGTGACATCATGCCACGTGATCGCACGTGATGTCCCAGAAAGGGAACTCCTTGATGGGCGCCAGAAACTGGTGAGAATCTCATGCAGTACTACTGATTGGCTCTATATATGGTGTCCCTGGACCCTTCTTGTGCCTCCACCAACATTCACCCTGCAGGCATCATCGCAAGACCAATTTTGGCCACGGGCAGGTGCGACTTGGGTGTGAGGTGGCTGAGTCATCACCACCCAAATAGGAAATTCTCATCAAAATAATTGTACATGTCTCAGAACAACCCCAAAATCTGCTTTCATATACATTCTAAGACCATTGATAGCATTCCCAGCCACCTGTACCATACAAAAGAAAAGTGAATTAAGGCCACCAGACCACCCCCCTCCCCTCCCCCCTGACGTCTCGGCTTGCGCCGGCGCATACCCCTTGAAATCTGCTAAGTCCATTGCCGATGCACGTGCATCAGTGATTGTCACATATCATGACATGCCACGTCGGAAAAAATGATGGGCATTCGTTCTCTTTCCTTCCTTTCCCTCACCACCCACTTTCGTCTCCGGCCTGTTTCTCAACACCATGCCCCCAGTGCAGGTAAGCACTGTCCACTTCGTTGGTGCAGAGTGCTTAGCTACTGTTTCCGAAAAGCTTTTAGCGCTCTCCACTGGTCTGCAGCATATGCGCAAGCTACGGTCTGACACCGGTGCGTCCCGCCGTCCCAACTCTTTTCCGACTAACACATTGGCAGTTCAATGGCGCCTCCACATTCCCCAGCGAATGACAGCAGTGCAGGGGAGATGAGGTATAGGTGTGTTTTGCGTGGGGCTGGGGTGCGCCATTTGGTGCGTCGTTACTCGCTTTTTTGCTTGAAAAGTGTGCTGAGAGGTTATAGCGAACACCCACTGGGCATTGAACAAATCTTCTGCGCAACGCACAACGGCCCGCGCAGCGTCCTGCGTCTTTCTAGGCAGCGGGGATATATCCCCAGATGTGGTATGAACCCGTTCAGCACAACTAACAGCTGACCGTTTTGCAGATACGATGCCCACCTCTGTGACGTGCCACGAGCATTGGTGTCGACTGTCAACCTCACCAATCTCAATGTTCCTGTCGGCCTCTGCTACTTGCCCGACACTGTCGGCGGCACCAACTGGTGAGTTTATAACCTTGCATATGTGTCGTATAGTGTCCTGATGAGGCTTCTAGCGGTGGCGAGAGCATTCGGACGGCGGCGCGGGATGTGCGATGGTATGACCGCCGCCGCCCTTGTGTAGGTGCTGGCCGTGGCTCGTTGTTGGTGAAATGGCGTACTCAAGCGCGGGGGCATATATATCTTGTTTATTGTTGTATATATATAGTCTGCAATACATGAGTTTCTTCATCTATTTTGGGTCTATATCTCCAAGAGCGTCTTCGGAATGATGACAGGTCTTTTGATAAAGACTAAAAGGATCTTGAGCAAGACCATTTTGGTCTTGGGAAAGATCCCCAAGACAAATGAATCTGCTTAGCCCAAGACCATGGTCTTAGGCATCTTAGGCATCTTAGGCATCTTTGAGATCTTGCCCAAGATCTCAAAGATGCCTAAGACCAACTTGTAGTTTTACTGATGTGGGTGCTCGCTGTCGCTGGCGCCCCAGCTTCCGGTGAAGGCACAAGCCCAGTTATCTGTGCATTCATAGGTAGCTATCAATGGGGTGAACAACGAAAAACACACCACCCAGTGCCGGAAGTGCCTGCTTGTGGGCTGCGCTGCGCTGGGGGCGTCCGGGTCAAGCATTGCGACTGTGTAGGTGAAACTGTGTTGCGAGAGGCCGTCTGCGGTGATGGCCTCGGAAGGTGCGGCGACGACGGATAATTGCGGCTGCCCAGTCGTATGTGCAAGTGGGACCTCCTCGCCAAGCTTAAGCTCGACGGAAGTACCGTGGAGTGCGACGCCGACGAGCCCAGAGGGCGTGAAAGACTCGGGGAGGACGTCAGGAACAATACCTGCTGTGCGCAAGGCGTTGCTGACGGCGCTGAGTGGCTCGACGAGGGGCATGACGAGGGTAAGACGCAAGATGCGGTACCCGGCCCGGGACCGCCGCCAGGTTTTTTTCTTCTTGATTGAAGTTGATTCCGCGTCGTGATTTCTGGTCGATGACTCAGTACTAAGCTGTCCACAAGGCATAGAGGCTTCTCATGTCGAGAAAAGTATTTCCCCACCACACCTTACCAGCACCTTACATTTAGGTGCACTTTGTGACAATAGAGATATTTTCCACACAATTGTGACCTATTTTCGCTCTCGTGCTAAACTGTTCCGTTTCTGGATGCCACGTAAGCCACGCTGTCATACGTACACTTGCTCCTCCCTACCCGCCAGCTGGAAACGCGCTGAGAAGGCGAGAAACAACGTTGGAGCTTCCGTAAAAGCCCGAAGTCCTTTGATGCTCGGCTCCAGGCTCGTGTTTCGCTGCTTCAAAGCCTGCGAGCGGCTAGGAGATCGAATAACAGGCGCCGCGGGCCCATTCTTCGTCGCCTTCGCGGTCATACTGACCGGCCTCGGGTCGGCCTGCTTCTGTGAGCTTTCCTTCTGCTAGTTTTGCGTTATTTTGTTATTTTATTCGCTTCAGTCACAATCCTCCTCCCCACCCTCTCGTATCCGTTCCTCACGACCCCAATATGCATCCTCATTGCCCTCAACATGCACGGACACTACTTCCTTGTCACCCGCGTACCCCCGGGCTTCGTTAACCCCGACCACCGTTCAACTCCACCGCCGCAAGGTCGAGGAGGCAGCAGCAAGGAGGCGCGAGTAACACGGGCCACGATGACAAAATGCAGGAGATGTGGTGTAATTCGGCCAGAAGTACGTCCTTCATCTGCTAAGTACTTGTCGCATGCTAACGAGAACCAGCGCGCGCACCATTGTCGGATATGCAACCGCTGCGTCCTCAAATACGACCACCATTGTCCTGTCAGTGTCCTCCCCGCCTCTTCCCCATAACCCTGACACCAACTTTCAGTGTTCGTCTCGCATTCTGCCACTTCCACCTCTCTCACAGCTACCCAGGGATAAACCAATGCGTGGGGCTGCACAATGAGCGGCATTTCGTCCTTTTCATGGCCTACCTCGTCATTGGATGTGTGGCCTTCTGCTATGCTGGTTGGGAGACGGTTCTTAGGGCATTAGGCTTTGGAGACCGGGACTGGATGGTGCGTTATCTCATTTCTCTAACTTTTCTGACAAGTACTAAAGCACTGGGACCACACCATTCCCTCCACGATCTTCCTTCTCATCTACATCCTCGCCGCCGTCATGTCGCTCGCAGTGGGTATTATGGTCGGCTTCCATCTCCGTACTGTCGCCAACGGGGAGACCACCGTGGAGAGCCAGGACAACGACGTCTACCGCAAAATGGCGAAGAGCCGCGCAGAGGCTTTCGTCAACTCGTACGACCTAGGGAGTGGGCTGAGGAACATCGCGCTGTTCTTCAATGTCGCCATCGGTGTGTCGCTTCTCTCCTTCAGGTACCAATCTGACTCTGCGGCACTAGGCAAGCATTCCCCGTCTCCTGCCCCATATCCGCTCTACTCTCTTTTCCTCCCAATGCGGATACAGCCGTATACTGATGGTTGGTCCTGGGCACGACGAGATGGATACGAGCAGGGCCATGCTGGTGTCAGGAGGGGAGAAGAGCTCACAGACGATGATGAAGAGTTTCCTGGATCCGAGCCCTAGTTTTGTGAGTTGTGTCGTTGTCTTTTGTCCTGGGAATGAAGAAACCTGCCGGGGCCATTTGACGCTCGCGAGTGTCTATGTGCTACTGTCCTTCTGGGGCATGTATGTCGCGCTCGGGGAGTTACCTTTGGATGAAAGAACATCCGGCTTTTGTTACTATTCGTGTCTGACCCCAATTGTGACGTTGCCCTTGCCCCCTCGGACTGACGGCTTTGCAGGTTAGAAATTGTAATAGCGCCTCTGTAGATAAATTCTCTCGCTGCAATTGACTCGATGCTGTGATATCTTTCTGAATCAGAAGTGTACCTTTGCGCGGTAGAAGGTGAAGTGTCCCTTGGGATGTAGGGAACGTAATCCGCTTTTCAGACTGGAACATTTTGTGCCTGTCCGTGGAGACGAAACGAGTCCAAGTCCACCGACACGTGTGACGTGAATATCCGCACACAAGTCGTCACTGCTTACTCTACACTTCCATCGTGATCGTCATAGCCCAAGCTTGAAGCTTAAGGTCTTCCTTTTCGCCCCATGATGCAATCTGCACCCCATAGAACAGAGGAGTTGGAGTTGCTGGTACTCGTGCGTGCGTCCTCCGAGTCCTCTCGAAAATCTTTGGATTTCTTGAATATCTGAACACAGCCCGCGCCGGCGGACCCGGCATTCGTCTTGTCCCTCGTCATCAGCTGAAGGTAGATGCTTTACGTCGATCCGAAACAACGTTCCCATTTGTGCCACGCTAGGGCTTGGTTTATATAGGGGTGTTTGTAAACCGGTTTATAAACACCCCTGTTTTATATGTTTATAAACAGCCTGGCTGGAAACCCCCTGTTTTATGGTTTTATATTAGTAAGCACCCAGAAAGGAAAGAAGCTAGCAAACCAGACTTACTTTACACTAATATTGCTTCTATATACTGCTAGTAGGTTTGATCATATCTTATAGGTCTATTATAATATATTGTTTCTTATCAAGTAGGATCTCAACCCACTTTCGGCTAATATTGCCATATTGATCATGATTAATCCAGTAAGTATTGGGAGCTTGGGTGTGTGACTATACTATACTAACCATACAGATTAATTATTATCAAGGTTATCATGATTTTTAACTGTTCTAAAGGATTCATGACAGGGGTTCTCAAATCTGCTGATAAGTAAATTATACATGTTATATATAACTAATTCATGTTATGCAAACTTACAAGTGATAGTTGATATAACCTTGCTGTTTCAACCCCTAATGTCTATGAATCTCAAAGTCATGAAGTTAAAACACTAAAATTTGCTGCAAAAAAATTCCTAAAAAGGCAATTTTGATCTCTCCGGTCATATCGGCTCAGTTGGTTTATAAAACCTAAAAACCGGTTTATAAACTGGGTTTCAGAGGCTATTTTTATCAAACCGTTTGATAATCTCCAAATTTTTTTACAAACCAAGCCCTATGCCACGCTGGTCTCCTTGATCTATGCGGACAAGAAGCGCGCGCCGGAGGTGCAGGCGTCATGGTGTTTTCTCCTGATGCGGTTCTTGTACGGTTCTGTAGCGAAGTAAGCTGAGTGATCTTTCATTGAAGTCCTTATGCACTCATGTCCTCGACGAATCTATTCAGCCTAGAGCGAAGAGAGGTTCTCTTCGTCCTACGCTCAGGCTGAGAGGGGGGCTCATACAAACAAGAAGAATATTCTCGTTCGGATGGCTGGAGTGCTACTAGTACTCCACAAGGCAAAACTCGTCATGCATGACCAGGAATACTGTGGTCCGAGCTTCAAATTTGTGCCTACTCGTGGGATTCAGTTTCTAAACGCATCATAGGTGGGTCATATCTCTCGTCAACCTTCTTGGGCAACTCCATTTAAACCAGCAATCTTTGCCAATCGGCGCGCTGAACAAACATGCAGCTTGCCTTCACCTTCACCTTCACCCTTGCCCTCCTTCATTCCTCGGCTAACGTTCATGCTGCACCTGGAATCAGCAGCAATGCCGCATCCACTGTATCGGTAACTTCGGCAGCTCCGACGACAACCATCGCTCCGTTCACTCCAGCGGGTGGAATCGGAACCAACTCGACCCCGCCAGTGTACACTTATCTCAGCGACTTCGACTTCCAATCCATGGTTCGTCCCAACAAGCGCTCCTCGAGAACTGCGCTCATATAGCCACCGTGTTTCAGAATCTTGCACTTAATCAAGAATGGATAGAACTCGATCTATTTCACCGAGGATTGGCACAATTCACGGACGAAGAGTTCGCTTCCGCTGGTTTGACTGCAGCAGACCGGTATCTGATCGAATTCATGGCGGATCAGGAGGTCGGGCATGCCACCATGTTAACAAACATCTTGGGGTGTAAGCAAACATTGTGTGTATGGACTATTGATGCTGACTGGCAGTAGCTGCGGCCGCGAAGCCTTGCAACTATACATATCCCTTTACAACGGTCCGGGAATTCATTGATTTTTGCCAGAAGGTGTGTGTCTGTATGCTAGATGTGGGCGCCCTTGTCATTGACGTTCGTGGCAGCTGACCCGCTTTGGCGAATCGGGTGTTTATGGATTTCTCGAACATCTTGATTCCAGGCCCGCTGCAGAGCTGCTCCTCCAATCGATCCGATCACCACCGAGGCTCGACAGCAGATGATTTTTCAGCAATTCGAAGGTCTCTTTCCGATGCCAACCTGGTTTATTCCCGGGATTACCCAGGCCATGGCGTGGACACTCCTTTCGCCCTATATATTACAGCATGCCCCAGTGAAAACCCTCACATTGTGTTCCAGATTTTCCCGACACTGAACATTACTGTATGTGTTATCCTCTTGCGTAAAGCTGAGTCTCAAGTTGATAGCACTCTAGAACAATCCATCCGCCATGCTGTTGATCAACTCGACAGACCCGCAGAAGTCAACACTCCCTGCAATAACACATAATCGCAGTCTCCCGCTTTCGGCGCCGGATTTCCAGGTGGATTTATCATGGGAGAAACCCGGCCAGGTCACTGGCTATGATAGATTATACACGACCAATTCTACTGCTGGGCCTGCAAAGGTATGTCCACTATGGTGCTGGGTCAAATAATTTCAACAGTTGGTGCTGTCATTTAGTTTGTGGCGTGGATTTCTCAACTTAACACAACCTATACGCCATTGTTCAATATGAGCGATGATGGAACATGCGGGTCAACGCGCCAGCCTGGTGGACTTATCTATGGTAACAACAGCTCACCATTGATCAACGGAACAATGTATGTGTTAGGGCAGTATCGAGATAGATGCTCAGCAGTTTGCCAGCTTCATTGCAGTGACGGACAGCGATGTGTCTGTCACGCCATTCAATATGACAATGATCAATCGGCATATTGTGGCAGGACCAGCCATGTACCAGTCTGGGTAGAGGGGTCCCACAGGCATGGAAGTGTTGGGATTTTTGTGGCCACAATATCTATTATATCTGAGCCTTGGAAATACAGATAGATGATTAGTACTTAGTGTTTTGATCAATTTGGCACAACTTAAAAGAATGTTTAACATGAATCTAGCTCATGAAGGTTCAAAAAAGTAGTAGTTTGCAACTCAGATTTTTTTGCCAAAAACACATATTCCAGCAAAAGTAACTTAGATTGGTCAAAAAAGAGATACCTTCATTTGTTAAGGAAAAAGATTCAAAAAGATCCAATGAATAGAATAGCAATCTTGACAGAAAAAAAAGTAATTAATATTATACTGACCAGTTCTGTAAGAGTGAAACACTTAGAGGACTGTTACTAGCCTGAAACACTGAAACTGTCCGGGGAATCATCTGACTGGCACTCCCTCAGACACTCCAACCCATCCTGACCATCATCTACAGCCTCCTCACCTGTTTAGCCCCAAACCCACTGTATATTATCAGTGGCAACCTGCACACTTGCCACTGATAAGCCCCAGCATTATCACAAATCTACTGAGGGGTGAACAATTGGTGGTGAAGGGGGGTGAATAAGTAGGGTGTTTCACGACCTGATTTTCGGGTGATAAGCTATGGATATGTGTCAGCAGGAGGTGAAGGGGAAAGGGAAGAAGAGGGGAGCGGGTCGAGGAGACTCGCTCGCCTAGCTGACACAAACATGTCTGCTAGTGGGGGGAAGAGTCGGCAGGCCAGGCAGGCAGGCCGACAGGCCCGCGCTAATGCCTGGGCCACGCGGTCCAGGAGAGTGGCCGGTGGGCTTGGGAGAAAAGCCCAAACAACGGCCGGCCTCACGGAGGAAGGCCCCTAGGAGGCCTGGCCACCGACTCTGAGTGCAAGAAAGCCGTGCAAGTTGTTCCTGTCAAGTTGCTGCAGAGAGTGATAGTTGTCAGCAATAAGTTATATATAAAAAGCTGCAAGTTGTACACAAAAACAACCAGTTGTATCATTAAGTTTTGGGGAAAATCAAAGTTGTACCTAAATTTTCTCTGTTTTTGCGAGAAGTTGTACAAAAACTTGTGATACAGTATACTGCCCATACGGGGGTTCCCCTGATAGTTTTACAACAACCTTTCCCCAAAACAGTCAAAATTTAGGTACAACTTTATGATTTTACCCCAAATTTAATGATACAACTTGTTCTTTTCATACAACTTGCAACTTTTTATGTACAACTTCATGGATGATAACTATGGGCGGTATATTGTATCATAAGTTTTGGTACAACTTCAGCCAAAATCGGTCAAATTTTAGGTACAACTTTTGTTTTACCCAGATTTTATTGATACAACTTGTTTGTCCATGCACAACTTGCAACTTTCAGTGCACAACTTGATGACTGGCAACTATTGGTCTCTTCAGCAACCTGACTGGAACAAGTTGCAACTTTGAAGTCCCCTGTTGCAACTTTTGACATGCAACTTACAACTTTAAACATGCATGTGTAACTTTCAACTCAGCATGCGCAACTTTCAACTCAACATCTGCAACTTGCAACATTCTTTGGGCAATGTCAGGGGAACCTCCCTTTCGGCCCGGAGACGCGCCCCGATTCCGGTCCGACTCCG